GTGAAAGGGGTCAGATTTTAGGCTGGCAGGGTGGGCCGTGTCAGAGGAGCCATTAGACTTGAGTTTTTCTGTTGAAAGTTCCAAGATGTCTACCCTTTTATTTCGGAGAGCCCAGTGGCACTGACCTTAGATGACCCAGCAGTGTTCATAAGGAGCTGAGACTGATGGCTTTCCCAAAGCACATGAGCTCTGCTAGACACATCTTGGGGGAGGGAGGATCCTGACAGAAAAGGAAGTGCGAGCGTGGAGACGCCTTGCTTTGCAGCAACACATTATAGCCAGGGGTTAATGACAGTTTAACATTGCTTTTGGAGCTCCGCTGGACCGTGCATGATATAAAAGGGTTTAGACAGTCAACATCTCAACCTCTGTTGTTTCCACACTCACTCTTTTCCCTCCAATTTAAAGATGTACTCGTTTGCCTCGCATCCACAACGATGGCATATGTGCCATAAGGGATGACTGGCATATGTGTCCTGCACCATATGGCTCGAGATTGAATTGGGATGTGATATGCGCAGGAAAAACTGATTCATCTCTCAGTTTGAGCTGCCAGCTCTGTGAAATGAACATTAGGTTGTCGATTTATGCCTGTGCTTTGACTGTAAACGTGTTACAGCTTAACACCCATCCCCATTCTGGTGCCATTCACTCCTTGGTGAGTCGCGGCAAAGAGACAGAGAGAAATAATTGAAACGTGTCAGCTGTCCCCACTCTTTAGCTATCTTGGCCAGCTTTCTCCTCTTACACCATCATCCACGCCCCACCCCTCGCATTTACATGTCCCAGAGATTTGCAAAAATGTCGCCTTGGCTCCCCTCGTTACCAGTTTGGAGATGCTCGAGGCAGATTAAATAGTGTGAGGCAAAGCAAGCCGTTGCAAATTTCTCCTATGATTTTATTATTAGCACAATGATTCAACACTGCTCAGCCCTTCTGTTCCTCTCGTACAAAATCATTTTGTTGAAATCACCCCGCCTGTTTCCTATGACTGAATACCTCACGGCAACGAAGTGTTGATTGGCAAGACTGCGGTTTCCTGCCTTCTGCCAGTATCTGTTATAGCCATCTTCCACAGTCACTCACTCATGAGCTAAGCCTTGGCTCTGTGCAGATTGCTTGTCTAGAGAGGTACAAAAACCAAATCATTGTGAGCTCAACCGTCAAGAGCAGCAGAATATCCTGTCAGCCAAAGCCAGCGGGAGACGCATCAAGGCAGTATGCATCCTCACATACTGTCTGCAACCTCCAACGTCTTTCGGCGGATATGCTGCTTTATTTAAATATCTGTCTGTTCATGTCCTTATTTTATCACTGCCCTGACTGTTTATGCTTTGGCAAAGCCATGAAGGGAGTGAACCGCAGTGTTTGCCTAGTAAATGAGAACACCCAGTGGCCCTAAGCCCCCGACATCCCCTTATCATTGGGATACTTTGCATATTCTCGTATCTAATCTGAAAGGGCTTTTTGCATACAGGTTCTGTTTCCCTGGCTGTTGTATATACTGGTATCAGTGTCAGCCGTGAGCAGGTAATTTATGTAACACACTCATTTGCATGCACAGCATTAGCTTGCTGAGGGTTTTAGTTGGAAACCAAATGAGAATTTTCTCTAGAGCCCTTGTTTCATTCATGAGGTTGCAGAGGCCATTTGCAGGTAGCCAGGTGTGTATTTAAAATAAAGTAGTTAAACAAGCTTCAAAGTAAATGATTTCTAAAGATGAGGAAATGTGTTCAAGGCTTTTCTTCTGGGTTTCTAGTGCCAAGACACCTTAAAGGAATCTCTTGCTCACGGGGAGTATGCCATGCACCAGCAAGCCACAGTCCAGCTAAGGGCCAAGCAATTCCAGACTGGTCCAAGCCATTCCAATCTGGGCCATCTGGCTGCGTAAAGGCCACAGAGGACCAGATCAGTGACAGCTCTCCAGATGTTCCATAGGGACACACAGGGTCACAAGTTAAGGGTATCGAAGGCAGGAACAGCTGTGTAGCGACACCATGTTCACCTCAGATTCCCCTCTGGACACATCAGTTATTACCAACAAATCCCAGTGGCTTGTTGTCCGTCTGCTACCTTAGTCCCTGCATCCCTACGCTCCACCCCTTCCACTCCCCAACCCACGGTATAGCACACTGAGGCACGTGCACACAGGGCGAGGCCCAATTCCCTCGAGTAAGCAAGGCCACGAGAACAACTATAAAAAGATCAATACTGGGATGAGATGTCATCTGGTGAGCAGACTTGCCAACACCCCCCTAGGGAATGTCCCTGCGCCCCCCCACCCCCCAGTTCACTAACCCAGCTAAGGGGAGAGGGGTGCCATCCCCACCACTGGGCTGCCCTCCAACCTGTCTGACTCACCCAGACCATCTGCTCAGGTTTGCAGGGCAGAGCTTCAGGACAGCACTTTTTTTGCGCACTCGTATGGCATTTGTTTCACATGATCGCCTGTGGCTGGCCTACTGTTTTCCTCAGTATGTAATTTCAGGGAGTATATTACATATCCTGCGGAAAAGAGGAACAACTTGGTGTTTTGTTTTTGCAGCTTAATGAAATGCATGACAGTCAGCTGACAGTTGTGCAGTGTTGCTTTGCATTGATGGGACCAAAAAAACATAACAAACAAAAAGTCTTTTTTTTGTGGTGGACATTTTTGGACTTCAAAGCTTCTGTGCTAGCATTTTAGCCGCTGCCATTTTGTTCATATGGCAGAGTGCTAAGTTATCAGCTAAGGTTAGCTAGCTACATTTACAAACTGTATGGCTGCACGTATTTTACTCAGCAAAACTAAAGTACTATCTTGTGTGCCACACAAGAAGCCATATTAAACTGAATTTTAAATTCAATTTAAAATTCTGCAAATGGCACCAACAGCTTAAACACAGTGATGCAGTCCAGCCTTTGGCTAACTTAAAATAGCAGGAAAAAAAGCCGCTGCAGCTCCCTCTGGTAGCACACCTGCCAGTCAAAGCAGCCACACCCTGACTTTAAACCTTACCAGTATCCAGAAGTGCAAGTTCTAGAAAAATATCACGCAGCATAGGGTTTTATGAAGGAGTATGACGGTGTCAGAGTTATCATGCATACATATTGTATATTTTTCAAAATGGTAGATAAACCTATTAAAAAAAAGGTCAGTTTGCAAACAATAAAAATCTATTGGATAATGCAACTCTTTTTCTTTCTCCAACAAACCGGTCTGGTTTTCCTCACTTTGTTCTGCCCTTCACTAAAATGAAGTTGCATGCGTTTGCCAACAGTAAAAACTTGTCTATGTTCCATTCATTCGTGTGCACGTGTGGGTGTGTTTTATTGTGCGTGCAATCGTATATGTGTGTGTGTGCGCGCGCTTGTGAGTGTGAGTGAGCTTTCAGAGGGATTTTAATGAGGGATGTGTTGGTCTGTGCCGATCGCTGCCTCCATTAGAGCCCATTAGAATCATCATTAAGATAACCCGGCGCTCGCTGTGGCCCTGGCTTAGAATGCGAAGCCCCCACCCCCCTACCTTCCCTCTATGGTCGTAGTGAGACTTCCTTCAGTATCACTCGCCTTGCATTATGTCTGGGAAAACTGGTTGCCATGGCAACATCACCCAACAGCGACATTTTGACTGTGGATATTTGCTTCTTCTCCTCCGTTTGTCTGTCTGTCTGTGCCCGCCTCTGTGTTTTTGCCATTGAGTATTCCTCTTTCTCTGTCCCCGTAACACCGAGAGTCTGACAGTTTAATCCAAGTCCCAGACCCCAATAAATCCGGAGGTCTATATAGGCCTGGACCCAGGAATTCATTTGAAAATTATGACACCATAGCCAGCCCCAGTTCTCCTATAAATGTAAGGAGTAAATGGAAGGGGAGCTCAACAAATAAAGAAATAAAGAAATAAATAAAAGCCCTGCCTTGCCTTTTTATTGGCCTTTTTATGGGTGTTAGGATCCTTGAAAGATTAAGCAGGCTGTTAATAGGGCCTGGATATTCCATTAGTGGGCTGCATGTTGAGTTCTCACTGGTTTGACAGCAGCTCCCAGCTCTTCTCATTTTGTTACTGTTGAGTGTGCCCATGGATCTTTTTTAATTGAAGCACTGCTATGTCTTTTGACTGAAACCCTGCTGTATCTGAGCACTCGTAGATTAGAGCCACCAAGAGGGCACCACCAAGCTGTCTGTCTGCCTGTCTATCTCTGTGCATGTGTGCATAGTTAAAATGAATACCAGCAGTAGCAGCTTTGATTAGCTCAGAAGCTACAGCAGTGATTTTGCTGTTGCAGTTGTCACACAAGCGTATCCTCAAGCTCACAATCTTCGCGGGCCATTTTCCTTTGCATTCAACTCTGGGAGAAGCACAAGATCACCAACTGGCTCGTCTTATTCATTAAGATTCATAACTGCTTTGATGCTGCTTTTTCTCCCACTTTTATTTGCCTGCTACAACAGCATATAATTATAGTCATTAAATTGCGACAGTCTAAGTACGAAAAGTCGTTGTTCTGTGGAATGCTGATTATAAAAGCTTCTTGTCTGTTGAAAAGGCCGCTGATGAATGGTAAAAAATGGGTTCAGAGTGCTTTCCTGTGGTTTCCCCTATCCCCTGAAAGAACAAGAAGGAAAGATAGAAAGATGCCAGAGAGGCCAAGATAAGGGGCCACGATCTCTCCTCACAACACAATTGAAACATAATTATTTCATGCCAGATTGTGTGCTCAGCAAAGCCCTGAATGGGGGCCGACATTTAACTTTAATTAGCTGTGATTTATTCATACTGACTGGATCGCGGAAAGAAATTGGATCATCTGATTATAGTCAAGCATGAAAATGACCTGATTAAACACTTAATGGAACCTAGGGAGAGGGAAACAAGAGGAACCTTGGGCAGAAGACACTGGGACAACATTAAAAAGGCAGAGAGGGAGCAGTTTTTTCATGTGTTAGGTGTTACTGAGTCAAGCGAAGATGAAGTTTAACATGTTTCTCCTTAAATTTTAACTGTTTTTTCCCCATTTCAGGTGTGCCAACGAATGAGAGTCCTGAGTCCAAGACTTGTAGCTCAGCCAAAGTCTCCGGTCTCCAGCGCAGCCAGGAGCAGAGCAACAGTGAGGTGCCCTTTGCACCTCCCGTGTCCAGCCCCACCCCGGCTTCGGCACCTACGGGCTCCCCTGCCCCTGCTGCAGCGGCGGCACCCTCAGAGCCTCCTAGGTTACGGCTTCCCACCCCGCCTCCTCTCAGTGTTAAAAAGGAGCTGCAACTTCCACCGCCCGTCCCTACACCTCCCCTGTTGAGGGCACCGCCCCACCCCCACCCCCACCCTCCTCACCCACACTCGCACCAGGAGCCTCGTGTTCTGTCCCGACAGCACCACGCACGGCCAGTGCACCACCCGTTGCCGTACAGCAGCCTCCACGAAATCAGGTATTTTTACTGGGGCTAAGAATTATGAGTATAAACCTGCTAAAGAAACCACACGGTTCAGCTGTGTTAGTGCCATATTCACCAGCCTCAGCGCTGCACACTACCAGAAAGCAAACAGAAATTCAGTACCCAGTACTGTCTTCACTTTCACCGTCTCACCTTTTGTACCTGTTCACGGTGTTGTCTGGCAGACGCTAACACTTTCCTTGTGTTTCCTACCACTCTAGTAAAGACGATATAACCTGCCAGAACTTCCAAATTAATATGATCTAGTCCAATAGACAATTCTATATTCCACACAGTATTGACTGTTTTCATGTGGATATTGATTTTTCCCCCTCACAATAACCAGCTGTCAGATTTACTGTTTTCATCGGGCAACACTGCAGTGCACACAGCATGATTTCCCATTTCACCTTTTCAGATTGTGCCCTCACCTCTTTTAATTCAATATAAGAAGCATTATTAGAAAATCACTCTTATTTGGTCAAAGTAAGCTGAACTTACAGCGAGATACCTACAAGAAAAAGCATCACAGTATGTGGATATGCATGTACAGTTTGTATTAACATCATAAATGATGCTAATAGTGATTGCATTTTTTTTGTACCCCATTAAATCTTTAGCCACAGCAGCAGTCCAGTGGGTCTTCCCAAACAGCATTTACCCCCATCCCCTCACCACCACCTGAGTGGGCTTCCGTCCTCGGCCCCTGCATTGCCTCTCTCCATAGCCAACCTTTCTACCTCGCACTATTCCTCCCTACGGAGCCCAGCCCATCGCCATTCGGCCATGTTTGCAACCCCAGCCACACTGCCGCCGCCACCGACCTTACCGACCAACAGTTTAGTGGTGCCCGGGCACCCCGCCGGCACCCCCTACCCAGGTAAAGCTGCGCACCTTAAATGCTGCACGGTAGCTTTAGCGGAGACGCAAAGTCCAAAGAAAAACAACTTCAGAGGGAGCAAAATGTTTTACATGAACATTTTTGATTCATTATTTATTCTTGAGATTAACAAAAGAACTGCAAACACTGTTGCGGTTCTACAGGACATTTTATCATTAGATAAATTACACTTAGCTGTACAACTGTGTTCATGCTGCAATTGCAGTTGTTTAAAAAAAGGATTTATAGATGCATAAAATACTAACCTGACAAATATTGTTTAACCTACTACAGTTAGTCGAGGATTTTTATACCATTAATGGCACAAAAATGTTACATTGTTTGAAACAAGTCAAGTGTTTATGCACCATTTGCTGATCTGGTAAGTGCTCATTCTTTACTTTTTCTTTTTAAATAAAAAGGCTATTGAGTTATTCTACAATGCATTTATTCCTAAGTGAAGACATGTGAGGGATTTAGCCCTTTCTTAGAAGTTTAGTTTGTCCAGATCCCAGTATTTTAAATAGAACCAATATACCAGTGGTGCTGATCTATTAACTATTTGCTGGTATATCGATAAATTTATAACAGCTGATAAATTAAAATTCAAGTAAAGACGAGATGATAGAAATACTGTTAACACCATGTTATGAGTGTTAATACTTCATAGTTTGTTAACCAGAGGCAGGTATTCCAAAACTGTATTGGCAACACAGTTTTGGAATACCACAACAACCAGCTGATGTGAGCAGAGTCACAGCAATCCACAAATAGGTAATGAGTCTTAGTAAGGACTCATAAATAACCACACATGATGAATGCTAGGGATATCTGTTTATGGTTTGTGTACTGGCTATCGGATTTTAAATCATCCGATATCGGTGCCAGTATCAGTGTCAGTTTTAGAAAAGGCTCTAATTATACATCCGTTTTCCATAGTGCCTCAGCAAAGTAAATTGCAATGACAAATTTGCATTAATCTTTAAAGCACTCTATGCAGCACATGGGATATTAATGCTAATAACACAGTGGGCACTAAGCACTTAGAGCTCATCAATAAACTGAAAAAAGTACAAAGGGTCTTGCATAGAAATAACTGTTGGGCATTACAGAGTGGAAAAGTATATTAAATGGAAATAAATACACTTGGGGTCCCTTCTTAGATGGTCTGCATTTCTAGTAGCACAGATATTAAATGGGCACAAGGACTGTAAGAGGGCTTGGATGCATCACGAGTAAATGTCATCTAACGATCAGACAGCCACCACGGTCGGAGACAGCACACCGCAAGCAGCCAGTCTGCAACTGGCACAGCCAAAATTGTGTTGCCTAGCATGCAAACACGAGTGATTTGTAACGATTTTTAATATGTTCAAAGATTCTATCGAAACAGGCGATCTCATCAGAAAAGAAAGTGTCTCCAGACATGATGGGTGTCTCCAAAATAAGCAGTAAATATGCCAGTTGTGAAATGACTTTCTCATAGAGGGCAAGAGTGTGTGTGTTTTCTGCTGGGATGACTCTTGGTTCTTTCTTGTCTTTAGATACCAGCCTGTTGATATCATTCAACCAACCAATCATGTATTGCCAGCCTCATTCGGGGATTCTGATTGGCACATTGTCACAGGCAACTCTCTTACCACCACCAATGAGTCCCCACGTAGAAAACCCTCACAGCATGAGCTGGAGAAACAGAGAATGCCAGGTGACTATTTTCTTTTTTCTCTTCTACCCTTGTTGTGAAGACTGACTGGGCGCCGTGCCTTTTTTTTTTCTGTTCCCCTTCCGCACCCCCCCCCCCCATTCTTTTTTTCTTCTTTGAATCAATTTGTTTTTTTTTTTTTTTTTTTTTTTTGGGTTTCCCCTCGCTCTCCTTTCTTGCAGAGCATGACCTCCTGAGGCAGGAGCTGAACAACCGTTTCCTGGTTCAGAGTTCAGAGCGGGGCCGGGGGCCGTCCGCTTCGCCGTTGGCCCCTGTGTCACTCCTGAGGGCCGAGTTTCACCAACACCAGCACATGCACCAGCACCAACACACCCACCAGCACACCTTCACGCCCTTCCCCGCAAGTCTGCCCCCGGCCGCCATCCTCACCCCGCCCACCGCACCCCCCATGGTGCGTACCCAAGCCAGAAATGTGAGGATAAGTAAAATAAGCTCCCGTAACTTCCCACCAACTCACCTGTTACCCCTCCCAATTTCCTCTTCAATCAACTCCTCCCTTTTTTTCTTTACCCCCAAAGTTGCCAGTTTTGTCCTGTAGCTGTAAGAACCCCTCCCTTCAGAAAAATCTGACACTTTGAGTTTGAATTTTTAAATTTTTTTTTTTTTTGCACTCTTCCTGTGGACGACAAGCTGGAAGCATCACGTTTAATTGGGGCTGCCACCTCCCATTACACAAACACACACACGAGCATGTTTATTACACTGTCAATTTAATTGCTTCATGTACACATTTCCATTATCAGCAACTATATTTGTATTTATTCAACAGATTGATGAGGCAACATGTAAAATGTTTATTTGTAATTTTAAATTAGCAATAGCATGTTCATTCCACTATATTTTCATTATTAACAGCGTGGTGTTCAGCCATGTGTTTTTAGCATGTTTAGCCGCAGCTTTTTTTAAACGACACAACAAATGATAACATTTCTCACTTTCAATATTTGATATGTTGCCCTTTGATTGTTTCAATTCTATTAACACATTTAAATATTTTATTTTGCTTTTATTTACATTTTACACAGCATCCCAACATTATTAGAAAGGACTGTAGAGTTTCAGTACGCTTCAGTTTTTATAGAAGCTACTTCCCTGTTTAGATGTGCCTTTTCATTAAAAACAAAGGTACTAATAAGCCGATCTGTGTCTGTATGAATACATTCCTGCAGACTTGTGCTTTTATACATACATACATATATATACACAGACATATATGTGTGTGTTTGTGTAACAGGGACTTATTGCTGCGTGTACGTGTGTGCAAAGCCCAAAAGCAACCATACATTCCAATGACAAATTCAAAGCTTTTCTAGTGGGTCAGATGACCTCATTGTGGATAAAGGGGGGAAATGACATCATTGTAAAACTGTTTTGATAACGTTTCTAATTGCTTCCGTGTTTTAAATGCCAACAAGTCTGGAGGGAAGAGGGAGGGGCGTTTAACACTGGCAGCTCTCAAAATTTGTACAGAGGAAAAACGGTTATGACTATTCATCCATCATTTGAAATGCGCAGCAATCTCTGTCAGTCGAATCAGACGGCTCCCCATTTGTAGCTTTTTGCCATTAGTCTAATAGATCTAATCCATCTTGTCATGACCTCTGATTAAAAGCCCGTGGTCCCATTAAGGCCCAACTCCAAGATTATCCCCATCCTGTACATTAGAAATCAAAGCTCTGGTATTTATGGCGCAGTCAGATAAGCATAAGGGCCGTTTACATGATTCTTCGGTCAGCACACACGCTGTTGTCTGGTCTGCTGTTCATTCCTTACATGGAAGGAATTATACGCTACACAATCCTCTCTTTGAAGATGAAAGAAGTGACCCCCCTCCCACCAACACCACCACCACCACCATCATCTATTTTGTGTCGTTTCAGTGGGATTTTACACTGACGTTAATGTTGCTGTTGTGTATTTTGTCGTTTTCGCTGTTTTTACTTAACGTATGCCTTTCCCTCCCTCCTACCCCTCAGTAGCGATATTGCTTTCTTCTCCTTAGTGCTTAAAGAAGCAGAGTAATGATGATGTTGTGGCTGTTTTTACTGTTTTGCTATGAAAAGCTAGACCAAGTGTTTCCCAGCTGTGCATCCTCTGTCTATCTCTCTCACACACACGTTTTTTTCCTCCTGCTCTCTAGATGCCCCATGTCATTTCAACTATGTAACAGCCCTTGGCTAATGGCTGTAATTAATGAAATTATGAAGCCTCTATATTTGTTTATTGTTCTACGCCCTCGAGCAGCTGGCTTGCCAAATGGCAGCGGTGAATGCCTGCCCCCTTGCTCCTGCCATGTCTTTGGACGAGAAATATTTTTAATTGTTATAGGATGAAATATTAAGCGTTAATTAGCCAAAGCGGTTTACTATAAAACTGTGACAGCCTCCATAAATTTTAAGGCAAGACTTTTTTTTTTCTTTATTTGTTTTTTTTAACAAGGCCATAAAGCCGAAATCCCCTCTCCAGTGACAGACATTAAACAGGCCGCGCCTTCAGAAGCGCAGAGGAGCTGTTTAATGAGCTCGGAAGCTGGCTCAGCATTTCCTCTCAATGGGCTGTCTTTGATTCGGGGCCATTATCGCCCACAAACAGGGCCGCCGACACCACCGCCGCTGTTATTACCATTCTGCGCACAGATGTGATTGGACCTGCTTCACCAGACGGCCCCGTGTCCCAAACCCTGCATCTGCACCAGCAGCTTTACCAGCTCCAGCCCGCCCTCCCTCCCCAGCCACCCCTGTCGCTGCACGCGTGCACACAGAAAATCTGATTCATACCCGTTCATTTTCCCATTTTATGTAAACCCAAAACATCTGCGTCTGCCAACTGAGCTTTGAGAAAACACTCGCAAAAAGTACCTGCAAATGGTTTGTGTATTTACGGAATAGGAATAAGTTACTGTCACTTGTAATTAGACGTTTTCAAAATAGAGAGCTGGTATTGGCTCGCGAACAGACATACAAAGTCCTCATTCATGCTCCCTTCTCTCTCTTCCTCCCTCCCTCCTGTCCATCTCAGCTTACCGACTGCTTTCTCGTGTGTGCGCGGAGCATGATCGGAAACATTTTAAATGTAACCACACTGTTTTCATCTGGCAAATTCCAACTAAAATTATTCTGATAGGCTAAGTTCTGCCACAGAAACGCTTTCCTCACAATCCTGAGGTGGTGTCGGTTTCAAGCATTTAATCAGCTGAAATCCCATCTCCTTAAATCAGTCTCAATCATACAAGGCAGACTGTTCACACAGCTTCACATATGACCTCCGTGGTTTTACGGACTGACCTGCTTTTTTGTCTTTTGAAGTAGTTTCCTAACACTGCAAACAAGTTACATGTCTTCTTGTACTTCCTTCCCAGATATACCATCGGGGCTTTTTGCACACAAAAAAATCTCAGCAGTCAAAAGCAATTAGATTCACATTTCTTCAGATTTTCCAGTGATTAGAAACAACTGGTCTGGCCTTAAAACTGTCTGATTCCTAAGCTGGGCCTCCACGCCCAATGTCTGTATGCTCAATTGAAAAATCATGCAGGCTGTCTTCATCTTGGCAGTGTGCTTAAGCGCTTGTATTGTTAGTGATTTAACTGCCTATCTGACCACGCTGTTTAAGTAAACCCATGACCAGTTCAAGCCAGCTGCTTTACCCCGGGGCTTGTTATTCTGGACCAAACCCTGCTCGTTACCAGTTACAGATGTTGAGCATGTGTTTTTGCCTTTGTAATGTAAAAAAAAAAAATAATGAGACCTTATTACCAAAGAAGGCTGTTGTATGAGGGATTTTGTTCGAGTATATCATTATGTGGACTTTTGTTTCCTAATGCTTTTCTTTTCTGTCTGTTCCAGTTCGACAAATATGGCCCCAAACTGGACAATCCATTCATCAGACACTCAAATGTAAGTTTTTTTGCACTAATTTAAATGTGTTAACAGTATTTGCATATGGCAAATCAAATATTTGACATATTTGAATGTTGCCTTGACAGCATTTATTGTGGCAGTGGCTTTGTGTGTGTGTGTGTATCTATATGCTTGAGTCTTGTATGTATGACTGTATGATTTTGTTTTGTGTCTCCCATCTTCCCCTTCCTCCCCCTTCCAGTTCTTCCCCTCCTACCCCCCAACCATGCCAGGCATGCCCCCGCTGCTCCCACACTCAGGACCCTTCAGCTCGCTGCAAGGAGCCTTCCAGCCCAAGGTCAGACCCGCATCCCTTAACCCACTGTCTACAAACGGGAGATTTTAAGGGAGCTTGAGCATAAAAGAAACCACAAAGTGTGCAGACTTTTACAAGAAAAACACTTTATACGTGCGCAAAAGGAAAACAAAAATTTAAAACTGCAGGTGGACTCCTAGCCTTAGTCACGACAGGCCAAAAATAGGACCGTGATGTCTGCCTGTCCAGAAGAGCAGAAGGGAGGAGATGCAGGGGACGTCAAGTGGGGCGGGAGGGTGTGAGTCTGGCAGATGCTCAGGGGCTGTGACCTGAAGTAAGCCACCAATCAAAGCTGGCCTAAATCCGCTGGCCCTATTCCCAGAGGGCTCAGTGATGGAGGTTCCCTTTTGTGGAAGGCCCCTCCAGATGGTTCAAAGCGCAGTTTTATGCATCCAAAGCCCCTGCTAAGTATTCTTGGAGACGAGCTTGGGGGGATAGAGCTTGGGAAGTATGTTTGTTTGTGGGGCCTGGCGACCCTGGTCACCGTGCAGAATCACCCGATCTCTAATAAGGCAATAGATTAAGGCCTGATTTAGACTTCTGCGGGGACTCTTTGTAGTGCTTACGGTGTAGCCTACATAAGTGGCGACATCGTTGGCGGCATTTTTGCTTGTATGTGGTGCGTTGTGTTAATTACCATGTAGTCCTGTCCTGGTGTTATATATCCAGTGCCAGCTGATGGAAAGAAATAAAATGCTGGGCCTTTTGGTTATTTTGGGGGGGAGGGGATTGCAAATATATTTGTCCCTCTAGTTTTTCCACTTCTTTGTAATTTCCATCACGTTCATTCCCATAGTTTCAGCAATCTCCCTCCAGGTATTTCCTGACATTTGTGAGTCCTTTATATTGATGCTATGATTATAATTCCTTAAACCGAGATTCTCTCACTGATAAAATTTAAAAACGTGGCAAAAAAGTTGCCAGAAACACGAATGAATCGATGATGCTGAACGAGCACATCATACTAGTTGTGGGCTGCATTGACCCGATGTATAGTTACATTTCTCAGGAGGTGCATGTCAGGTTAGGCCATGTGAAATGACATGTGTTTCCTGCTGGAGCATAAAACCCCAGGAACAATGTTGATCTAGGATCTTGTGCTCTGCAGACTTGAAGATGAAACAATTAGAGATGTGCTGCTCTGGCATAACTCTGAACTCTGGGAAGCATCATTGCAGTTTTACCTATATCAGCTATAGCTGTGCAAATACTTGGGCGTTAGCTGACCGTAGTGCAGCTAATTATCTGGGTTGGAATAGATGCTGGAGGGTCTTCGAGTAGTTTTGCAAGAAATTCGTCTTACATGCTTCCATGCTATCTCCATAACAGCACTGACACAAAGCATAAGAATAAGGTGAAAACTGGGATTACAGTAATCTTATTCATTCTCTCAGGGGATATTTAAAAAAAATAAATGGAAAAAATGCAATTAACAGTGTTCTACAGAGGACCCTCTTGAGGATGCCTGAGACCCCCTTTGGGAATTATTATATGAGGTCAAATTGTTTTGTATTGTTGTGCCAAGTTCAGTTTCTTTCTTTCCCCATGCAGATGTTACAGATGTGGTTGATCACCATATATCTTTTTGTCTTTGTCTTTCTCTGTCAGGCATCCAATCCCATCGATGTAGCAGCACGTCCTGGAGCAGTGCCTCATACACTTCTGCAGAAGGACCCACGGGTAAGCATGAGACCGAGAGCATCGCAGCCACTCTGCTCATATTCCTTCTGATGATAGCCAGACATGATCCAGTACATATGTCTCAAAGAGACATTTCTTCTCATGCATTTCAGTTTTACAGTTAGTAGTATGTCTTTGTTGTTTGTAATAATGATTATCTGTTTATCCATACAGATAACAGATCCATTCAGGACATCTGTTAGGGTAAGTAGATGCCTTATCCTTTCCTGTTAAATGCTTCATCTCTCTGGCCAGGCCACAAAGTCTAAAACCTTAAAATTCTTTAACAATTCTCGATTAAGCAAATGCAGGGTTTTGGCTGCATTTACGCTTAGCTTTGAGGTCTGTATTGGGGTTAGATATTCTTAATATGTTGCCTGGTTGCAAATTCTGATGAGTTCCCACTTTGTAGTTTGGCCAGAAAAGCTCTATGCCAGAATCAATTTTTAGCTCCCCATATCAAAGCCAGCAGGCTAACCTCAGTTTCTCTCTAAATTTTTAGAAACCTGGCAAGTGGTGTGCAGTGCATGTCCAGATCGCATGGCAGATCTACCACCACCAGCAGAAAATGAAGGTGCGTGAGACAGATAGTAATGTTTTTAAGGAATCTTGCTGTTATGTAAAGCCAGATACACTATATTGGTTATGGAAAACGGGCCAAATAGCTAACTTATTGAAAACACTACATGCTAGAGCAGATCGAGCTGACTTGGATCTTTTGTTTGGATCTAAACGTAGAACGATCACATGATTGGAAAGAGGCAGAAAGCTTTAAAAGAAGCAAAGCCCAACACATGAAGGCTCCACTTTAAACATATACTTTCTATAAAGGTTCTCTCTGACTTCATAAGAGAAGGGGTAGATGGTAACAGTAGCACTCGGTATCAGACGCAACATGTGAACACAGAACAGAAATGCTTATACGAATTACTCCTCTCACTGACAGAGGATGGTGTGGCCTTGCCATGGAGATCCTCTGCTAATGCCACTGGCCCTGGGTGTCTCAGGCTTTTCTTGGGCCCAGAACCCCAGTTGCCAAGGATTTTGTTTCCCTAATCAGCTTACATATATTTGTTATAACACAGCTAGTCAGAATTGAGAACATGGAGCCATTGTCAAAGTCTCTGTCCTTCTCTGAGCTCTCACCCAGTGTAGCTGACGATCGCTCACGCTCACTCCCTTGTTGGAAATGTTTCGTGCTGTTGCGTACTGACCTAATTTTCTTTGTCTCCTTCTCTGCTTTTCTACAGCAAATGCAGCTGGACCCTCACAAACTTGACATGAATGGGAAGCTGGACCTGTTTAGTCGACCCCCTGCACCAGGAGTCTTCCCAGGGTTCCCGTACCCTCACGATCTGGCACGACCCCTCTTCCCCTCCACAGGTTGGTCAAGGCTCAAAATACCTACCAACATATTGAAAACACTCAAACTTCAAGCCTCCTAACGTCATTACTGCCTTTATGGAAATTAACATTTTTAACTACATTTTGAAAAAACACTTTTTATTTTCCCTCTCGTGCAATGTTCACATAATTATAGTGCTTTGGTAGCAAGTGTTTTGCCTGTAAAGGGAGTCAAATATGTCTATGAATATGCATGGCTCTCAGTTAGGTAATTGACTGATGTGCCCTGTGTTGGAGGGCAACAGAGAAGAGAACGGCCTTTGACTGGTAATTATGCAGCGGTGTGTCAGAGGCACTCCTGTAATTGGTTCTATCATTAACAATTCATGAAATATGGGTGATGGTAGCAGTGTTTTGTGAAAGAGGCCAACTTGTTGTACATTCAAGAGCTGACCTCACTAAGCTGGTACAGACTCACGCACAAACAAATAACAGCTGCAATGAAACCAGCTGATATAGTCAGTAGCATCACTCCACCAACTCTTTGCTCAGCTGGCCCACGTTGCGTCAGAGTTTGTGATACTGCGGCAGAAATGCATTTGTTTAACTTAGGGTTTGGTTTGGCGTAAGATTGTTCCCCAACCGACCAGACGACCGGCCGGATATGGATAATAACACTATTTCATCCTCTCTGTCCCGATAGGCTCTGGACACCCCCCTCCGTCTCCATACGGCCCCCCCTCCCACCCCAGTGGATTCCTGCCTCCTAGCCATTTGGCAGGTAAGTGTAAGTAACCCCCATGTTTATCTTTTTTTTATACATTTATCTCCTCTTTCAACACGAGTCTCTCACTCACTCCTTCTTACACTCATGTTTCAAATACATTAAAAGCCACCGGGGTGTAATTTGAACCAAAGGTATTCCTAGTTTTTGATCTCAGGTTCACTTCAAGGTTAATGTACAATATCGTTAGCAACAGCCAGCTGCAGTACTGCCTCTTACTTTACTATAATATTGAATGTAGCCATCCTGCAATCAGCCAGTGTGATTCATAATACGGTCGAAAATAACTCCAGAGTCCGGGTTTATTAAAATGGAAGTAGTTTCCAGCCTCCAGACCGATTTGTCATCCCTCATTTGCTCGGACAAACTGTACACAGAGCAGCAGCACACAAGACACTATTTTCTATAAGCATGCCAAGCTGATTTCGTCGTACCCGGGAAGAAGGGAATAATGAAGGGGCGTTCGTGCTGTATGATTCTTTGGTACATTCGGTTGTTTGCATTTTTATTCATCATCCTCAGTTCGGACTGAGACACTGTTTAAGTGTCAGTCCATTCTGTGCCTATGAAAACATGGTAAACTGAGGATGAAGATTTAGTCAACAAATGGGAATTCATGTGTGAGGCAGAGGAGATTTCTCAATTCTTGTCTTTTCTAATACGTGAAAAGCTCCAGAATTAAAAATCCGGTTGGCAAGTTGTGCATTTCCTGATGGATTATTTCCGATTTAAAGTGGGACTGCAAATTCTTAGTTAATGAGTCCCGTTCGCTGACTTCTCAGACTAAATATTTGTTATCCCCGTAAATTTGGAGGCTATAGTCTGTGACTGATGGAGTCCATCAGATAGTGATTCACCATCACTGTGCTCTGTCTAGGCTAATTTCCACAGCTCCTAATTGTCTTGTCCTACCACAATCCATTTCCAGCTCAGCTCCAAGAACTCAAAACTGATTTCCCCACCAAGCAGCATCATTCCACAAGCCCCAGCAGGTCAGAGACACTCCACTCCAGTTAGTGGCAGTGAATCCAGCATCCAGGCAACCTGGCTACTGCAGGATTACCAGGCAGAGAGCTAGGGTCGCAGCGCTAGAAAACCACGGCTCGCTTGTAAGAGAAAAGCCGAGTGGAATGGGTTGGTGTTGGGGTGAGCACTGCTAGCCAGCCACCCCCCCTTTTGCTAATCCCTGTTTGGCATTTTGCAGATCCTTTCAGTCGCTCCAGTTCCTTTGGCGGCCTCGGCAACCTTTCAAGCAGTGCCTTCGGAGGATTAGGCAACCCCTCGCTTGGTAAGCGTTGGCCCCCTCTCGTCCTCCTCCTCCACCGCTCCCCCCTTCAATCTGGCCCCTGTGGCCAGTAATAGAATAGAGCAGGACAGCGTTAGACCACAGGGAGAGCCAGGAGGGGAGAAAAAAATCTAGACACTTAGCTCTAGTTTCTGTGTCAAAACAGTCCTAGCCCAGGGAGGCCCAACAAGGCAGCACAGCACACCACAGCAAACCTCCTCCCTGCCTCCACTTCATCTACCAACTAAGTCCCTGACAGCCTGGCTTTAATCTGGCTGTGTTGCTGCCAATAGGCACTCTTAGGTCTGCTGTTTGGTGGTAATTCGTCTATTAATTATTTGACAAGCCCCTTCTGCACCACCATGGAGGGTTTTCTCTTTTCCCTTTGCATCCCTTCTCTATGCCTTTCTCTCTTTCTCTTCATCCTTCCTATTTTTGTGTGCCAAATCGGTCACCCTGTTGTGAAAATGGATGTGATTGGAATAGACATGCCGTGGAATGCTAAGGTTCCCCTTGGCTTTTCACAGCTATCATCTCCAGAGGGCAGTGAGTCTCCCCTGTTCATCCGGTGCAGAAAAGGAAGGGAGGGGGGGGGGACCTTTAGTCTAAAAGCAAATGAGTAGGGGGGGTTTTTCTCTCCAGTTCAAGGGGGAGGGGGGCATTAACCTCTAACTCTTTCAAACAGCTTCAGTGCTTCAGTGAGAGAACCTCCAGAGACAAAGACAAAAGCAGCTTTTGTTGTTGAGTCTTTCTCATCTTATGTGTCCTCAAGAAGGTTTTGTGCCCAATTAACTTACAGTGGGTCCCACGCCTGTCTGCTTCTTTCCTTCAGGGTCCAACAGCATGTTTGGCACCAAGGAGGGGCCGGGAGGACTGCCCACATTTGGCAGCCCCCACCACGACACCTGGAACCGACTTCGACGAACCCCGCCGTCGTTCCCCACCCCGCCGCAGTGGCCCAAAACCGCAGATGCTGAGAGAAGCAGCTCCGCCAACAGCCACGAGAGAGAGCGAGAGAGGGAACGGGAAAGAGAGAGGGAGCGAGAGAAAAGAGACTCGTCGATTGGCAAAGAGGAGAAAGATAAAGACCGGTGGGTGAAACACACTTTTGGTTGTATGTTTTTGTGTGTTGCTCACATCCAGGATGTAAAAACCGACTCCTGAAATAAGACCACAATAGCGACTATGATAAACCAGCATTATTATACATACAAGCTGATCAGTCAGAGCAGAGCAAAGGAAAAACAGCGAATGTTTTTTTCTAGGTAGTTACAAGTCGTATCCATGGAAACTGAAATAAATTGAACAACCGGCACGCTTATAAAAGAGCACGACGCGCCGAGAGAAGCTATTTGTCAAAAATTAATTGGAGACATTTCTATGAATGGTACGGCAGCAGAATGAAGGGTTACCGTCAAACAGAGAACAGAGGGATACAAGAGCAAGGCAACTCGTACGATTTAAAAGAGAATTATAAGGCAGATTTTATTGTTGAGAATTAATCAGACACTAACCAAACGCGACCTACTGGCAAAAATAAAACTCCTTCATTGTGCCGTTACAGGGATTCTGTGGATCGCAACCGCCACTCCAACCGCTCGTCTCCGGCCTCTGCACCAGTCAGCTACCAGATCAGCAGCCTGATTCGCTCCAGCAGCCAGAACTCGAGCGATTCAGGTCGGCATCACAGCGGCAGCGTAGACAGGGTCCGCGAGGCAGAGAAGGAGCTACTGGAGCGACACAGAGAGTCTTCCGCACTGGCTGATGTGAAGGTGAAGGAGAGTCGCTCACCGGGCAAGGAGATGCTAGAGAGAAGACCCTCAGAAGACTCCATCAAACCCACTCAGCGTTCCCCTTCCCCCTACTCTAAGACAATGATCAATGAGCAGGGCATCAAGATGGCAGGCGGGCCTCTGTCTACGCTCAAGGACAGCGAGAGGAAGGAGCCCCCACCTGCAGAGCTCCTCCATAAGGTGAAAAATGACATGAAGATTAAGGAGGAGAGGAAGGAGGAGCAGGAGGTCATGGTGGTTAGTTCGGAGCCGGCCCCCCAGCCACCGGCCCAAGCTCTTCCTACTCCCGTCAGCCAACCAGGAAACCCGCACCACCACCATCCACCTTTGTCCCAGCAGCCCCCACTTCCTTCACCGCGTGGTAGTGACATCTCAGCACCTGGCCTGCATGGTGTCCCCATGGCGCATTCTCTGCCTCTTTCCATGAGCGCCATGCCTCAGATGGGCAGCCTCAACGTGCTAGACCGGGCTCGCATGGCTCCCTTCATGGGAGCACTTGCAGGAAGAGAGCGCCTGCCGCACACAGCCTTTCCCTGGGATCCGCTCAGAGAGGCCTACCGCAGCCTGGATCTGCAACGCCGCATGGACTTCCAGCTCAGGCCTGAGCCGGGGCATCGTTTCCCCAGCATGTACGAACAGGAGCGAGCCTACCGCGAAAGGGAGGCTCATGACTACTCCCACCACGAGCACCTGTTGGAGGTACGCAGGGAGCACGAGAGAATGCGACAGCAAGCCGAGGAGCGAGAGCGCCTCCACCTGAGGGAGGAGCTGGACAGAGCACGGCTTCATCAGCTGCACCAGTCCCCAATGGAGGGTCATCTACCACACATGCCCCCCTTTATGCCCCACCTAGGCGGCATGCCCTACCCCAGACTCAGCCCCTCCACAGGACACAATGGCCCTCTGAACAGAACACCCCCTACCGCCGCACTTAGCGCACCCCCACCCCTTGTGCCAGCTGGCAGTGCCAGGCCAGCCTCGCCCCGGAGGACTACCCCCCTCACAACCACCCAGGACCCACGGGACTACTCCCCATCACGTAACCCCAAAGAGGTAGAGGCTCGGTAGCTTCTTGGAAAAGTGCAAAAATGTCTTACAGGGCGCTTTCACACGCCCCCGCTCCTCTAATCTGAAAGCTTGTTGTAAACAAAATGCACTGCTCTTCTCCACCAGAGAAGAGCAAAAGTCCCTAAGGGAAAGGGTATGATTGTACAAATTAAAGGTGTGTAAGGCTAATTAAGCACATGCCATGACTTTATTTTTAGTGGACTGGAGGTCGAATAGCGTCGGTAAAGAGAACATAAATATGTGTATGTTTATTGCCGACTTAAATATTTGATAATTATTAATATATTAATCCAATACCTTTTTTTCAACTTTGTGCAAAATAGAGGTCCTCAAATGAGTTTGTACATTTCCTATCCTTGTTCCATGTATAGATATCATTTCTATGAATTTTATGTATTTTGTGCATTAGTCACGCCTTTTACAATATTTATCCCAGTTGATTGTGAGACATATCCCTTATGACCCACTGTAAAGACTGGATTTTGGTTTCAGTAACTTAACCTCATGGTACCAGGATATCCTCAGTGATGACAATGTACAATGCTACATTACCGATTTGTTCTGTTCAATTGTTTTGCCTTTGAGATATGCAGATAAATATATATTATGAGGTCTTTGTTGAGTCTCTGTAAAGAAAACAGATGTAAATAACTTGTTGCTATTCCTTCGCTGCAAGTTTACCATGTAAATTTATTAGGCTTTTTAACCATTTCTAGAAAAACAAAATCAAAACGAAACACGGGAAAATCACCTGCCTGCTGAATATTGCGGAGAGAGACAAGTGTGGCCGACGGACGGGAAGTACGAAGAGAGGGTGTTGTAAGGAGGCCTAAACGGATCATCTGCAATCTATGCAAAGCAGCACACAGCACCCTGCAGAAGAAATCACCTGGAGGGAAAAGACGATACCGGTGATACTGAGAGCAACCTGGATTTAACACCTGTTTATATTTACAAATGAAATAACGACTAAATAATTCAAAGACTTCCAAGTCACAAACTGGACCAGCCCCAGATAGAAAAATGAGGACACTGTTTAGTGGGCGGCAAAAGGACTCTCTCTGTCAACCTTGTGGTGTTGTGCAGTTGTTTTTCTTAGACTCTTGTATACAAAACAAGTAGAGTTTTAGGCGTGCAAAAAAAAATGAAAATGAACATTCATGGTTTAAAACGTACGGAATAAAGTTTGGACCTAATGTCAAACATTTCCTGCTCATCTTTAATTCTGGCGCTCGACGTCGGCGCCGACTGCCAGCTGTGACTTTGTCTGTGAGCCGGACCTGCTGAGTGCTATGTGTATGTGAGGTTGATCGGTTTGCGGTGATGCCTTAGTTTCTAGCATTTAGAGCATTTACTCATCTGATACCAAGATATTACTTTAAAATCATAAAGCCAACTGACTTGGCTGGCAGAGTAGCCTAAGCCATCAGATCATTTGACCGTAATCTGTCATACATGGGCTGCAGATCTCTTCACAGAGATCGATGAGATTGGGCCAAGGCAATACAGGCAGGGACTAATAGAACATTGATTTTGTATGAAAGCAGGTTTTGAGTGTTTGTGTTGCAGGTAACCGGTATTGACTGGCAGCCCAGCGGCATATTGACCCGCGGTCTGGACTCATTAAGAGGAGCAATGCCTGGGAGGCAGGCTATCAGTTGGTGGAAAAAGAGGCTCCCCTCTCTTCTCACATGCCTCCTCTCCTCGTGCACACCACTCATCTCCTTTTCTAATGAGGCCGGAAGGCACTCTGGAGTGGGCCGCAGAGGGAGCCCTGAGGTGCCCTGTCCTGTTATTGACAAGACCTCGGCTGCGCCTGCTGCCTGAGCAGAGACAGCCAATTCATCCCGATAATGCGCCGACTACTCATCTCGCTGCTGTGCGCCGTGAGGCCCACCAATCCCAGTCCCATGGTATCAACCCATAATGACAGCGTGGATCAAACCGTGGCCAGGTCATTAGGGGATGTTATTGAAAATCAATAGTGCTCCTGTGTCTCACGCACTCCAACAGGGTTTTTAAAGGGCTCCTTGAAAAGACTGTTTGCCAGAATGTGGTTGGCGTATTGGGAAGACTTAAATCACTATCGCTTTCAATTTAGCCTCTCGGTAATTGAACCACATATTCTTCCTATGGGTAGCATCTGTCAGTGGCCGGCCTCACTTTAGCTCTGTGTGCTTTTAGTCCTAATAATCTAGTCAACAGCAGACACTTAACCCCTGTACCTGTTACCACATAGGGATTTTTTTCTTCCTGTAACTGTTATTTACTAGGCGAGCTTTAGTTGGAGAAAACCACACACCTTAGATTCCCCCCCACCCAACTCAATCACTCTGTCCTGTGCTCTATCCATTTTACGGCTGAGTGTGGAACGGCCCTCCGGAGATGAAAAGCTCCATCAATTTCACTCATCGTCTGGCAAGGTCAATTTATTTCAGCACACAGTCCATCATCAGATGGGAATCAATTGACACATTGCCTGGCATATCCAACCCAAGGTGGATTATTACAGAGCTTGCAATTGTCAGCTTCTTACTAGAGCTATTATTCATGTGTCCGGGGGATTTTTTTTCTTTCTTTTCTTATTTTTTGGAGATTTTGTACAGTTTTCTATATTTATTTGATCACAATTTCCTATGTGATGGAACATTGTTACTTTGACGGGACTTAATGTAAGAGCGTGTCGCAAAAAAAAGCGTCTGGTTTTCTTTGACACATTTCTCCACTGTAATCCCAATTAATAGGATACGGTGGTATCTGAGGTAAGACATTGTTTTATTGTTCCACTAATCCCCTTCATTTATCTGTGAGAAACCTGAATGCTGAGGGTTTGGGATTGAATTTTCATGGTCTCAAATACCTCCAAAAAGCGCTTGGCACAGTGCTCACCCCAGATTCAGAGAACAGTGGAACAGGCCTTAAGGGGCTTTTATGGAGCACAATGGCAGCTAATAACACAGTGCCAAGCTAATAAGATGGGCAGCTCTTCCCCCACTGATAAAACATGTATGAAAGCATTTTTGAGCCTCTATGTGGTGGCTCCCAAGATCCTTTTTTTCCCCCAGCGAGAGCTAATGCATTAGTTCCCATTTGAAAGCTGTTTTGAAATGGAGATTGGTAATGAGACCTGGGGCCCCCTCCGTGATCACATTTGCTGGGGCCTCCACTGGGCCTCATGATTTGAGAGACCGCAGCTTTGCTCAGAGTTCAAGTCCATCTCTGCGGGGGTTAGAAAACCCTGATGAGAGCCATTCTGAACCACTAAGCTATATCTGAACTGCGAATTTAGGGAGAGCGCACAAGTCAAGGGCTTTGGCAGCGAATCCTTGTCGCAGCACTCTTTCTAGAATGCGTGTTGTTTTGACCACCTAAAAAGGCTAGCCGCATGCATCCTTCCATGTTCCCGTCTTTTTTTAGCTCTCTGTGTCAACAGAGCGGCAGCTGACAAAAACCAGGCCAGTCAGTGGTTAAGGAGCTGACTTGGAAACAGCCAAATGGTGTGAATTCCAGGCCCTGGTGACAAAGTGCTGTCTAATGTCTTTTCACCTCTGGACCTATGACAAATATTCCAGCTGTCTCACAGCGCAGCTACCATTGCTAGGCAAGCAGACCAAGTAATGCAGCCCAGAAGAAAGAGGATACTTGAATCGGTCACAGAGGAACCTCAAAGTGCACAATATGAGACAGGGAGGAGAAGAAAAGAATTAGAGGAGATGGAAAAGAAGGAGGTCCAGAGCAGCCACCGGGCAAAAGAAGTTTTCCACTTTGATTCAACTTGGAGGATTTTTCCAGCCTTTAGTGGAACCTCACAATCTCCAACACTGGCCGTATTATGTACACAAACCATAAAAATGAATAACATTTATGCAGCTGGGCACATCTGGCAGTGATAGGACTCTCATTCACAGACTCACAGGATGGCACTGTGCCGCCACGCTACCCTTTCTGTTCTATGCATGGACATAAGGCACAAGAAGACAAAACGTGGGCGGTGTAAAGGGAGTTTCTGAAATGCTTCGAATGAGTTTAAGAAAATAAGAGATTTCAGGGCAAAATGGAGGCCATACGTGGCTCGTCCAATTTGGCAGAGCCGGCGCGCATGATTAGCCGTAGAGACGTTAATCAAAAGTGGCTCAGTGTTTGAAGGGGCAGTGAGAGGCGCTGCCAGCTGGTGACAACATGGCTTGTGTGCTCGGGCCAAGAGTGAAGTTTATTTGAATACGGATCTTGCCGTGACCGTATTTCTCCAGAGCTCAGTTAGCAGAGCGTTCCCTGGCTCATCACTGGGATCGCCTCAGAGCCGTTGGCGCCCGGGAAGGCAGAAGGTTTTTTTTTCCAAGCCACAGAATGAGAATTACGATTTAGTCCATCCCCTCTGGTGGTGTGGGCATATTCATAAGTATTTATTCAGTTTGACGCTGGCACAGACACGACACCTAGTTCTTGGCTCTCCGTGTGTGAGGATTTTATTTTGAATATGAAACTATGAAATTGACAAAAAGGCTGTTTTTGCATTCTGTAAATTAACAACACATTTGAAAATCAAACATCCCATTTTTCCACTTAAAATCATGCGAGACCTCTACTGAAAACACGAAGCTTAGTTATTCAGCTGTCAGTTTGCCCTTAGAGCCAAGCTTCAAGACCCAGTGCAAAGCACAACTCTTAGGAGTAATGCAGTGGGATGTGTGTGATCAAGTAAATTCTTAAGTTTGTTTTCAGCTCTCTCAGGAGGTTAGAGGAGGGTTTGTGATTTACTGTTACTATTAGCATTATGGCTTTATTTACAAAATATTCTACATTTTTATATAGTTACAAAAGCAGTGACAACAGTGTTTTTGGATGATTTACAATTTCACTCTTTCTTCCGATTGGGTTCCCAATCAGACAAAGACAAAAAGCAGGTAGGCGGGGCTTCTTCTGTTTGCCTGAGATGACCATATTAGGGATATCCACTCTCAGTGACATCATACACAAGGAAATACAAGAAAAAAAATGTCAGAAACCAAACGTTTCAAGAAGTCCAGATGTTTTCAGATTTTTTATAATCCTCGCAACTGTTTCGGGGGATGAACAAACGGCTTTTTTTGCATATTTGTCACATTTACATGTTTCAGATCATCAAACAAATTTTCACATTAGACAAAGAAAACCCGAATAAATACAAATTGCAGGTTTTCAATGATGGTCTCGTTCATTAACAGCTTTCCAAGCCTAACCCTATCCCTGTGTGAAAAAGTAGTTGTAGAGTATGAATGGCAGGCCTAAGGTCATACAGACCATCTCAATTGAATTTAAGTAAATTGGAACTTTTGTCTTGTCAGGTCACAGAATATTTTCTCAAAAGTCTTGAGGATCATTAAGATATTTATTGACAAATGTGAGATGAGCCTTCGTCTTCTTTTTGGTCAGCAGGTGTTTTCTCCTTAGATCTCTCTCATGGATGTCATTTTTCTCCAGTCGGTTTCATATTGTTGCATCGTGAACACTACCTGTAACTGAGCCAAGTGATGCCTGCAGTTCTTTAATGTCGTTCTGGGTTCTTTTGTGACCTCCTGGATGAGGCTGGCCACTCCTCGGGAGGTTCACCGCTGTTTTGTCCATTTGTGAATAATGACTCTCACTGGAGTTCAAGGCCTTAGAAAAGGTTTTGTAACCTTTTCCAGACTTATGGATGTCAGTGACTTGGTTTCTCAGCTGTTTTTTAGACCACTCATGAAGTGTAGTTTTTTTTAGGCTAATTCACATTGTCAGACAGGTTCTATTTAACTGATTTCTTGATTCAACAGGTCTGGTAGTGATCAGGCCTTTGTGTTGCTGGTGAAATTGATATCAACTTTTTTTTTTAAATTGTGGTTAATCACTGATAATTCATGATTTGGATTCATGTAATTACTTTTCGCACAGGGTCAGGTTTGGAAAGCCTTTTTCGCTTTATCAATGAACTCATCATTAAAAACAGCATTTTGTATTTACTCGGGTTATCTTTGTCTAATATTAAAATCTGTTCGATGATCTGAAACATGTAAGAAATCAGGAAGTGGAAACTGTACAAAAACTGTACAATTCATCATCTGTATGTGAGGTCATTCTTTGTGTTTTTGACTTCTTTCAGCAACACACGGTCAATGCCACTGTGGCCACAACGGTCACTAGACTGACTTTGCGTTCTCATCGAGTTGTAATGTTCGTCCACAAAAACA